AGAAAAAGAGCTGGTGGGGGGCCGGAAGAGGCCTGGTCCTATTCCCCCGGCCACCAGGACTTAAGTCCAAGGCCAGATCACTCCTCCAGACTTTGAGCCATGGCTCCCAGAGATGTGGGTCCCTCAGACCAACAGCACCTCCTAAGACGTGTGACCCACTGATGCAGGTCCAATTTTTATTTTTCCAAGAAAAAAAAAAAATCTCTTCTATCTCCACGGCCACCATTTTCCCAGTGGAAAGGTCATTTCAGGGGTTTAAGGACCACCTTGAGCCGGAGCTGGCTGGGCTCCTGAACTCCACGGAGCACAGCCCCATCCCTCACCCACGCACACCTCTGGGTTTCACCTTCCTGGAAATGAACCTCAAGGCAGTTAGGAGAACGGTTACTTGAACATTTTCTGCTTTCTGCAGATGAACCTAGCCCTTCCTAGTACAGCTCTTGCTGTTGAGCATTTTGTTAGTTTAACGGTTATTTTCCCTAAGCATTTTGGTATTGTTCCACCACCTTGCGTGCTTGCAGATGAGAAGACTGCTCTTTAAAATTCTTCCTGCCTCCCGCGGTGGTGTGCGCCTTATCATCCCAGCGGCTCAGGAGGCTGAGGCAGGAGGATCACAGCCAGCCTCAGCAACTTAGCGAGGCCCTAAGCAACTCAGATAGATGCTGTCTGTAAATAAAACATAAAAAGGGCTGGGGATGTGGCTCAGTGGTTAAGTGCCCTGGGTTCAATCCCCAGTGCCCCCCCTCACCCCCAAATCTCCCTGAGCGCTGACTGCTTCCTCCCAGTTTTGTATTTTTGCATTTTTCTCTACAATTTGCCAGTTTGAGGGGTTCTTTTTGTTCCGATTGCTTGGTTTGTTATGGTCTGTAACTGTGGCTTACTGGCTCTTCCAAGCTCTGGAAAGTTCTCAGCCATTCCATCTTCTTCGCATGCTGCCTCTCAGGCTCAGCTTTTGCACGGGGCGTAGGGAGCTCAGACCTGTGCTGCTCCCATTGGAACAAGGAGAAGAATCCATGTGTCTTAATGTGTCTCCATGTGTCTTAACCCCATGACAGCTGAAGTTCAAAGCAACCGAATCACCGAACATCTTAGGAGGGTCAAGACACCCCAGGAGAGCTGAGACCGGCAGCGCTTTGCCTGCCTCACAAACAGGCAAGGATGACTCAGCTGAGGTTTAACGAAGGTCAAGTACAGGCTAGCACGATAGTCCAGGGCTTCCAGGCTCAAGAGGAAGGATCATATGTGTGCTGAATCTCTTCCCCAGGGACCACCACTGGTGCTCTCATGAGGGTGGGTGAAGGCAGAGTGAGAAACTGGAGAGATGGATGCTCCATGGTGAAGATCTCAAGAAAGAGTGTGGAAACACAGACTCTCAGCCTCCCCAGGACAAAAACTTCAAACCACTAGGGTGGGAGCAGCAAGGCTTGTACCCCCAGAGAGGGTGAAAAGAAACAAAGGAAACATATAAAAAGAACTTTCTCATTGCATGGAACACAAATGTGATGACTGGCACTCTGGCAGCCATTTTGGAGGCTATGAACTGAGATGGTGGGGCAGAGAAGAACCAGTTTTTGATCACGTAAAGCTCTCACAGCAGCCGTAAGTGCCAATTTCTGAACTTTTAAATGAGAGGTAAGAAACTTCTTTTGCTTAAGCTCCTCTTAAGCAAGTTTTCTATTATATGCAGCCAGATAAGTCTAACTGAATCAGAACCAGACCAACAAACCGTTTGTTGAGGACCCTTATATCCCTGGGATATCCCTGGATCATAAACTCTGTGTGCCTGATCCATCCAACTAGGTAGGAAGGCAGTGTTGTGCTTCCACAGGAAGATTCATTTGCAAGTTCCAGGTGCTGAAAGAAAGGAAGGAGGGGAGAGAGTCAGAGAGTTGGGAGGGGGGAGGAAAGAGGGAGGAAAGGGGAGGGGGAGAAAGAAAGAAAGGAACCTCTTTTAGTTGAAAATTATTTTAGTGTGCAAGACATTCGTGGGACAAAAAGTTTTGGGTATTAAGGTCTGTGCCTGAAGCATCTAAAAACGGTTGTCCCTGGGAGCCTCTTCCCTTAATGACCTTCTGGAAGCTTATCCAGAGATAAACTGGGCAACCTACTCCCTCTAGTGGTGACGTTAGATTTACACCAGGTTGTGCTTGGGAGATTTGGTTATTTTGGTTTAGGATCAAAAAATGTCTGAGTTTTTTAGGGGGGGGTGGCGGAATATATATATTTGGTACCAGGGATTGAACCCTGGGGGGCTTAACCACTGAGCTACATCTCCAGCCCTATTTTATATTTTATTTAGAGACAGGATCTCACTGAGTTGCTCAGGGCCTTGTTAAATTGCTGAGGCTGGCTTTGAACTCATGATCTTCCTGCCTCAGCCTCCTGAGCTACTGGGATTACAGGTGTGCACCATGGGGCCCAGCTTTGAAAAAATTTTAACTGATTTTGTTTTAACTTTTCTTTTTTAAAAAGTAACTTCACATTTTTTTTTAGTTGATAGTAATGCAATTACCTTGTGATGAATGGTATTGTTTTCTACTAAAACCTAAATAGTTAAGAGTGATTGTTTTATAAACATTTTAAAACTCGCCTTTATCAAATTTGTTACTGTATAAATAACTGGTGTTCATACACTTCCATCGTGGTATTCTATCTAAAATTGAAAATTCTGTAAACTTAGTGTAACCATTCTATTTGGATCTTCTCATAAAAGTATAATGTTTCTATTATAAATCTTAATATGATTAAATGGATTGTTCTTGATTGTTCAGAATAATCTAAGAATATTTTATAAAATTGTTAGTAAACTTTGGGGATTTTGCCAGGTATGGTGGTGCACACCTGGAATCTCAGTGGCTTGGGAGGCTGAAGCAAGAGGATTACAAGTTCAAAACCAGCTTCAGAAACTTAGCAAGACCCCGTGTCTAAATAAATAAATAAATAAATAGGGAGTGGCTCAGTAGTTAAGTGTTCAATCACTGGTATTCTCCACCACAAAAGTGAGGGGACTTTGTACCAATACAATACTGGAATACTAGAACAATAAATATTTCTATTTAAAATTTTTTTTTGAGAAATTAGAGTTCATTAAATTGGATGGTGGTCGGTCAAAGAAAATAATACTACTATATACTAGTAGTATCTAGTAGGGACTGAATCGAAGTTAAAGCTGTAATATATATCACAAGTACATGCATATACTTGTATTGGTACAAAGTCCCCTCACTTTTGTGGTGGAGAATACCAGTGATTGAACACTTAACTACTGAGCCACATCAAACATACAAACATACAAACACACACATACGTAATGTTAAACAAGGGAACCCCAGAATGAAGAAAGTTTAGCTAAAACCTAAAAACCTTGTTTATGTTTGCATCCTCTCTTTTACCCATATGAAATGTTCCCTCAACCTCCCAACCCCCAGGTAGAACAGAGTGTTTTCAGTTTTCTGTGTTAGGGTGATACTAACAGGGAGAATATTCGGACAAATACAATGTGAAATAAATGTTAAGGTATTGGGGCTAAGAATGGAAAAACAGTCCCCACATCATTCCTGAAAGTTCTAAAGGAAGCTGAAGTTTTGTTAGTGATGCCAATTCATCTGTGGATCTGTCTAGGGGATATTGTCGTTGAAGCAATATTCTATTTTCCAATTCATGGACAAGGGATGCCTTCCCTTTATTCAGTTTTTTGAAGAAGTTTCTGTCCACGTTCTCTCGCTTCGAGCGTACAGGTCGTCCATCTCCCTTGTTAAACTGCTTCCCAGGCATTCATTCTTCCGGATGTCATTATAAAGGGGAGTGTTTTCCTGATTTCTTTCCATTTTCAGACCGTTCATTGCTAGTGTATAGAAACACAATGGCTTTTTCCTTGTTCATCTTATATCCTGCAACTTTGCTGAAGTTGTTCGTTAGCTCTGATCATTTTTTTTTCTTCTCTTAAATCATTCCTTGGGTTTTCTATGGACAGGTGAATATTCACCTGTGAACAGGGACGGCTTTACTTCTTCCTTTCTAATCCAAAAGCCTTTCATTTTGTTGCCTTACTGCCCCGGCTACTGCCCCCTCACAATGCTGGGTAGGTTGGCAGAGAAGGTGTTCTGCCTTATCCTGACCTTGGGGAGGGTCACGGGTTTTTCATCATTAAACACCATGTTAGTTGGAGGCTTTTCATTGATGTCCTTTATGAAGTGATGGAAGTTTCCTTCTCATCCTAGTTTGTTAAATGTCTTTCTTTTTAATCATGAGGTAGTGTGGCTGTTGTCAAGTGCTTTTTCTGCATGTGCAGATGACTCTGTGCCTCCTCGCCCTTTGCTATTGCTTGGGCACATTAGGTGGACGGCTTGTCACATTGAACCGTCCCTGCCTTAGGAAGCTGACCCTGCTTGGGTGTGGCGTGCATTTCTTTTTATAGCTGGTGTGGTGTTCTTGGAGGATTTCAGTCTCTTCATAAGGAAAGAGTGTGTCTGCAGCGTGTTTTGTGATGCCTTCGTCTGGTTTGGGCATTTCGTGACATTGCATCGCATGCACTTTGCAGCGTAGGCGAGAGGCGGGTGGAGCCCCGTTGGCAGGGCTCCTGAAGGATTCTGGCCCCCGATGGGGGGTCCTGAGAGTGAGTTGAACACTTCTCTACCTTGATTTGAGCTGAGATTCTGACACTAGTTTGCTTTGCCAGATGGTTCACTTCTGGGCTGTCAGAGGGGGAGCTAGAGAGATTTGGGGGAGGCAGCACCCCCGGGCTCTTCCCATGGGTGTCCTTCTCCTTTGAGGAGCCTTTGCAATGCCCTTATAGGGTAAGGAGGTTACCCTGCAGTGGACAGGGTGAAGAGAGCAGGGCGGGAACTCTACAAGAGCCTAAGAGCCAGCCACCATTGATTGACGGGGATTTGCCATTTTAACAGTGTCAGGTGTCAGGGGCCCAGTGGGTGGGACTGCCATGATAAGGTTGTGGCAATCCATTTTAAGTCACCCCATTTCCAGAATCGAGAACAAAGTCGTGCTGTTCAGTGGAGAAGCCCTGGGATAATCACCCATTTATTAAGGAGGTTTCGTATAATAAGTCTTGATCTTGCAGGGCCCCATTTCCAGTCACATTTGCCCTATGGACTGTCTTCATTATGAGCTTATGGGCCCTTGATTTTTCAGCCTGTTGATAAGGGACAAAAATTTACTTTTATTTATTTATTACTTTTTTTTGATTTAATTTTTTATTGTTGGTTGTTCAAAACATTACAAATTTCTTGACATATCATATTCCACACTTTGATTCAAGTGGGTTATGAACTCCCACCTTCACCCCATACACAGATTGCAGAATCACATCAGTTACACATCCATTGATTTACATATTGCCATACTAGTGTCTGTTGTGCTCCGCTGCCTTTCCCATCCTCTACAATCCCCCCTCCCCTCCCCTCCCCTCCCCTCCTCTCTCTCTACCCCCTCCACTGTATAACCCTGAGGGTCTCCTTCCATTTCCATGCAATTTCCCTTCTCTCTCCCTTTCCCTCCCACCTCTCATCCCTGTTTAATGTTAATCTTCTTCTCATGCTCTTCGTCCCTACTCTGTTCTTAGTTACTCTCCTTATATCAAAGAAGACATTTGGCATTTGTATTTTAGGGATTGGCTAGCTTCACTTAGCATAATCTGCTCTAATGCCATCCATTTCCCTGCAAATTCTATGATTTTGTCATTTTTTAAAGCAGAGTAATACTCCATAGTGTATAAATGCCACATTTTTTTTTTATC